GCCCACGGATCCGTTCCCTACCCTCTACTGATGAAACATGAAACATGAAACACAAACAAATTTAGGAATTTTTCCTTCCCAGATATATCTTATATATTTAACAATGACCGACTGTTCAACTGATTCATTCAATCTTAATCACCGATATTTCTATTGAAAACTTGCCTTCGGTTTGATAGCATTGCCGGTATTTCGAGAACAAATGTAATTCCGAAATAGACGTAGCCGCTAACTGTGAAAGGTGGACTCTCAGTTTTCCCTTTCTTTTAATATTCAGGAAATACTGGCGGTTCTTCGGTGTTGGCTTGTCCAGCGCAGTTCGGCTAATTTCAGTTTACTGAGGAAATAGGCAACTTTGATGCTTGATCAGGGTGTCCAATTCATCAAACAGGATTTATTTACGCATCCTTTAAACCCTGCTCTGGGATGGAAACAGGGTGATGAAGAAGCTAAATGGGCGCAAAAGGCAATCGAAACTTTGGTCAAGAAACTTAAGAAAAGAAAGGGTGTAATGGAACGTTTGCAGTATGCCCTATCACATCCTGGAGAGCCGAGCGAATGTATTTCTATTCCGAGATCTCTTGATGGCAGGATACAGGTAGGCCCTCTAAAAACGGGCAACGTTGTAGGTGTCCCACAGGAAAGGATTTCCGCACGTTATTTACTGTCGCGTGTGGCGTTGGCCTGACCTACAGAGTCACCACGAATTAAAACCTTTAGAGTGTTGCAAACTCCCTTTCGATTCCAAGCAGAAGGAAATTTGCATCAACCCTTACCACTACAGACGAGTTGATTACCCAGGTGACAGTTAATTCGTTCGCTTTATTTTTGTACAGTTCTTCCCCCTGTGTTAGTCCCCCGCCAAAGTGAATACCCGGATATGAACGATGCTATGCCCTCTTATGCATCCAATGAGGGATCTGGAGGTTGGTCTGTCACAGATACGCTTAAATCCAAATTGTATTTCTTTATCTGTAAATGTAACACGTAGGTTCAAATAGTTATCATTTATGCCGTTGCAAGTCACCACAATGTTTATAATGGACATTTTTGGACATATCCTTCACCATTACAACCCG